GTGAATTCTCTTGTGTTGGCATAGTGACATTTTACTGCTATTTTTTGATATTTCAACAAGGTATGTTTATCATGGTTTTATTTAGTTAATAAAAAGTGTAAAATGAGTAAAAGAAGTAGAGAGTTCGGATGCGTAAATAACCCGGACAATCTGGGCGACGTAAGTGATGAGCACGGAGAACGTTTTCACCAGCAAATGAAGGCTATGGAGCGGCGGTATCACGGCTTCTGGGATGCAGCCATGATGGGTGATTACATTTGGTCCCTCATACGAGAAACGTAATACGAAAGCAACAAAAAACAAAGAAGGAGCCAGAATTTTTTAAACCCATGCTTATTTAAACAAAATAAAACTTTCAATATCTTCAATGTTCAATATTTATTGTTCAATATTCAATTTATAATTTAATTTCAATATTTAATGTTTAAAATAAAAATTAATGTTCAATATTAAATTTTGATTTAAGTTTACTCTAAAACGTCAAAACACCTCAGAACAATTCTATATTTTGCCTTGAAAACTTGAAAACTGGAAGTTTTGGAAATTTTATTTTTAACATATTGCACAGCAAAAGTGTCGCTCATAAGATATTTTTTTGTGTTCTAGACTATTTAAAGTGGTTTAACGACTTTTATAATTTAAAAAATTGGATCTCTTTATTTTTAATGGTTAACTTGCAACTTAACAGCATTGTTCCATTAGTCCTTAGAAAATTCATAACTTGACTGGGTAATCCGTTAAGGGGCTGTAAATAAGGCACAGCATCGGTCATATAAATAATTCATCCGAAATTTAACCGCAGGCTTGCTCCCATTGCTCCTTACAATGGCAACTAACAATTTCATGACAAACTATTTACCAACTACCATTAAGATCGAATACACAAGATAACAACACGTACAACAAGAATACAAATGCTCGGCGGGGCCCGCTTGCGACTTTGTCCTCTTCCCCCCTTTCCCCCCTTGCTTCGTATCTGTTCGGGAATGATTTACACTTCCCGTGTATCCCGTTTTACATCTGATTCATAACGTCATTTGATTTAAGCAAATCTCGTATTAATTTTATCCAGACACTCTCGTAAAGTTTTGATATCTTCTAGATTTCATACTCACAGTGATTCGGATTACAATTAATTTAATTACAATTAATTTAAATTAATATAATCATGTGCAATAAAATGGATTTTTTTCTATCATTTTTAATTAAAACACAGAAAAAATTTAAATAAAGTAAGAATTACCATTTTTTTCTTTTTTTTTAAAGATCTATCTATTCCATATAAAATTATTTTTTCTGTCAAAGATTTATTGTTTCAGTAATACACACACAGGCAAAATAATCGATCCACACAAATTTTCGATGAATTTCAATCGCAAATTACTTTTTTATTTGATTTTGGATTTAAACAAATATTAAAGAATATTGTAGATACATTAATGGAGAATCGCTCTCATTTTAAAAATTACTAAAAAATACACGTACAAAAAATAAAAAAAAAAGATGTTTTTTACCATAAGTTACTGTAGAGTGGCAAAACCGTATATTGTTCTAAATTAGGTTTAAATTATCAAGTCACATCTATTTTTAACAGTTTTGTTTTTGGTTCACCTTGACATATTTATTTTTGTGGAAAATATGATTTTTTTTAAAAAACATTGCAATTTCCAATATTTTTCCTGTATGAAGAACTAAGGTTGCTATGGTCCATCCATAGCCTATGGAGAATGACATTGACAGTTTTGTTGAATCATCCCATACTTGGACATGTCATATACAGCTTTCAAAAGGTATCAAATTGTATTTTGTAAATTAATGTGTTAATTTTGATGTGTTTTCTCACTTTTAAAAATGTCTCCGACTGATGTTGCCCTTTGTACTTTACTTCTTGTGACGTTTAAAACACTTGCCACGTAATACTGTTACCGTCCATCCTGGATTAAATTAATGACTCTGGCAACATCAGTCGGAGACATATCCATTTTTTAAAGTAAAAAGACACCTCAAAATTTAAACATTAATTTGCAAAAAACAATTTGATAGCTTTTGAAAGCCGTGTATGACATGTCCAAGTATGGGATGATTCAACAAAACTGTCACTGTCATTCTTCATAGCCTTTGGATGGACCATAGCAACCTCAGTTCTTCATACAGAAAAATATTGGAAATTGCAATGTTTTTTAAAAAAATCCATATTTTCAACAAAAATAAATATATCAAGGTGAACCAAAAACAAAACTGTTAAAAATAGATGTGACTTGATAATTAAAACTTAATTTAGAACAATATACGGTTTTGCCACTCTACAACTTATGGTAAAAAACATCTTTTTGTTTAAAACTGTATATAATAAACGTACGTCTATTTTTTAGTATTTTTTTAAAATGTGAGCGATTGTCCCTTAATTTATCTACAATATTCTTTAATATTCGTTTAAATCCGACATCAAATAAACAAGTTATTTGCGATTGAAATTCATCGAAAATTTGTGTGGATCGATTATTTTGCCTGTGAGTGTATTTAATTAATACGTACTAATTAATACGTACCTTACCTTCAAAAACAGTAAACAAATTAATTAAATTTCATTTATTTAAATAGTATATTAAAGTACAAGTTGCAGAAGGCCACATATTCTCGCACGAATTCGAAATTTGGCCTCGAGCGACGAAGGAGCGAGTGGACGAACGAATGAGTGCGAGAATAGCCTTCTGCAACGTGTGATTTATACTATTTTCTCGATTTTAACTTTTATTTAGGTTTTTTTAAATGTTTTGTGGTCGTTGTTAGTTGGGGGATTTTTCTTGCAAAATGTCAGTTGGCAACACAAAATGACAGTTGCATGGACAGGTAGATTTATTTTTATTTACTATTTATTAATAATCTGTCTGTATTTGTCAACTGGATAATAAGGTTTTGTGTAAGTATTGTATTATTTTTTAATGTTTTCTGATATTTTTGAACAATTGTGTTTACTTTTAGCAGTGAAAAATGTCTCAGGAGGTTTTACAAGCAACACTGAACATTACAATAAAAGTTTATAACAATTGTGCTAGTGATTAATTTATAGTAGTTTTGTGTTTTGTGTACTGTGGGTATATAATATTTCCAATAAAATATAGTTTGATTGACCTGTCTGGCTCATTTATTTGTCAATATTTGTTATCCTGCACAAGTACAACTGAACTGCACTTTTTCACATTAAACTTAAAATTTTGCATTAAAATGCATTGTTGGAGCAAACTTAATATAACAAAACAATAATAAAGGCTTCATTTTCAATAAAAGTGTAGTTCAGGTTGCACTAGTGCAGGATAACAAACAAAGCTATTATAAATAATCCTAAAAGTAATGAATTTGAGATTATTAAACAGTTTGACATTTTGGGGGTACCAATACTTAAAAACTAAATGTTACCAAAAATCGTTTAAGAATGAGCTTCATTCTTCAACGATTTTGCGTGCGAGAATATGACATTCTTACATAAAAATCGAGAAAAGAGTTTTAATGATTCCAACTCCACTGTGAAAGTACATACAACACGCCACAACACAACCGGCAAAATGCATATTAGAAATACCCATAATAGAGTTATAATATTATATCACTACCCCTACAAAATGGCGAATTGCAAGTTGCATTAGAGCTACCAGATTTTGTTGGAAAATTGACATGCTATTAGAATAATTGTGATGTATCTTAAATGAATTGCGTAAATATAAATAATTTTCATAGCTTTTGAACAAAAATACTTTGCACTTGGTTGAAAGAGATTTTGTATTTGTTTTCAAGAGAACTATACGTCTTCCTCTAAGATCTTTTTTCTTTAAGCAATAAATACTCTTTTATGCCATTTCGCAAGTTTTTTTTTAATATTTTCACTTTAGGCTTATAAATCGTAGAAAAGTGAATAAAAATAAATTTAGGTTTGATACCGCAACTCATCACTTTTGTTATCCCATTCCCGATGACAATGTACGCCAATCAAAACAAGCCCCACTGTTATTTTTTGAATGGAAAGCATTAAAATTGCCTATTGAACTGTTTACTATACCATACAACAGTATACAATATCATCATTTATCCAGCTAGCATTATTATTTATCTGCAAATTTTGTTAAATTTGTAACTTTGTTTGGTTTTGATTCTACATTAATATATACATATATACAATTATGATGTGTTGCTCTTGCTATCATATCCGGGTGATTTCGGATTTAATCTGCCGCTGCAGTGAAAGTTTAGTTTAAATAGTTTTTATTTATTTTATTTATATATCCTGAGGTTAGAATTTCGTAAGTTTTTTTTTAATATCTCTTTGTATATTTCAAATAAGTTCTCTTTTGACACCTTAATAGTTTTTTAAAATACAATTGTACTTACATAAAATTTAAAAAAAAAAATTACTCACGGTTGTTAGGTTTTTAAATAGCAAATTAATGAACTTAAACTTTTGAATTATAAAACAGCAACACTCTCATCTGCATATAAATTCTAACTGACCTTCAGGAATCACATGCATCTATAATGTCGTAAACAGAGGTTTTTGCTTATTTAAAATGATTAAAGCGCCATCCGTTGCATAAAATTTAAAGCAAAAACAGATTCACGGAGGATAGAATCAATTTTTATAACACCTACATAAATGGTTATAAAAATTATTTTTTTTAGTTTTTAATAATATTTTATATTTGATTCGATTGCTTTGGATGTGTTTAATTTACTTATAGTGAAGTGATATTTTTAGTATGCTTTTACTACCTCAGATATTTGAAAACATATAGGTTAACATAGAAAGAGTAATAGTCACTTTGAATTAAATTTGAATTAAATGTAAAATGTACTTGTTAGTCCACTAACTACTTAAAAATTAATTAAACCATTAGGCGAGTGTCGTATTTGGGATTGATTAAAAATGAATTGATGAGGGTGTGATTTGGCATCTGATCGGGCAATTACTCATCGGGAGCGAGTATGAGCGAGTCTGTTTTGCGGCTAATTCAAGATGAATAATTTATCTGACCGAAATTGTGCACACAACAAATTACGTTGATTACAGGGTCCGTAAATCTCCATTTGGCCGGTAGGGAGCTTTTGATCCGACGGGTAACCGCTTCCACATCATCGTTGTTACTCTTTAAGTTTGTACAATTATAATTAGTATAAGTGCGTAGCTTTGTCTCTCTACGTGCGACTGAGGCGTCCTCTGTAATGTAGCAATTAGGCACTGCCTTAATTGTCTGTGCCAGAGTAATGTACTGCACTTTGCTGTACCCACCTAAAATGAGTAATTCATTTGATAATCCGATAGATCTTTTTGTGCAAACACAAAAATAATAAAAGTATAAAAAAATAACAAATAAAACAATAATCTATATCTATGGTCATTATACTATTAGTAGACGTGGGCATAATAAAATTAAAAAATAATAAAATAATCCTCAGAAAGAACAATAAAACCATTGTTAACCGATTTTCAAACCTTATAACCTTATAGATAATTGGCCCCATAAATTAATCAGCTTACAAATTTTAATAAGGCATTTATTAATAATTTAACGGAATCAGTCTAATGCTGCCTTTGTAAATTCACTTTAATAATAAATTCAAGACTTACGTGCATTTTAATATTAAAGTATCGGCGAACGTCAATCAACACCAAAGGCAATAAATAAAATAAGAATATTTTACTTTATTTTTCATTTGGAAAGAGCGAGCTAATCAATTCCTAAAATAATTAATTGTCCAACAAATGTTAATTAAGGTTTCTTTAAAAATTGCAAAGAAACAGTTTTACGTGTAATATTTAAACTTTTCTTAAAATTTATTAACGTTGATTCGCTCATTTTAATATTCACTACACTCTTTAAACAAAAAGTCTGCTTAGTTTATAGAAGAGACCTTAAATGTTTTTTTTGGAAAACGTCGAAATTTTAATTTTCTTAGTGATCTTTTTGATATTTTTACAATGCTATATTTTACCACACTTCATTCGCATAAGTGAAGATTATAACACAGCCTGTGGATTATAAAGTTATGTTCACCAAATAGAGCGATGGCCCTTTCCCCCTCTTTTTAAGGAAAATAACAAAAATTTACCGATGCAAAACATATTATGATAACAACTAATAACCATGTTTATATTGAATTATAAAATAGCAATGAGAACAAGAGAAACTGATTTTTTTTCAACGAATTTTGCTTTATTTGAAACAATGTTTCTTCCGATTAAGTATGGAAAATGATTTTATTTAAGTGGCCACCTCAGCTGGCTCGGCAGTAGCCCATCCTGGAACACCAATTTTCGAGCACTTTGTCAAAAGTTTGCTGCTCTATTTAGGCAATTTGAGCTTGAATGTTTTGTTTTAAATTGTGAATAGGCTTTGTTACGGCGACGTGTGGATTTTCCGTGGCCCAAATCTTACAGTTTTGCTTGTTGACATAACCTTCGAAGTAAAAATGCGTCCTATCCAAAAAGATGATTTTTCTTGCAAAATTAGGGTCATCGTTCAACTGGTTTAAATCCCACTCAGCAAAGCGAAAATGTTGTGGATGGTCAACTTGCTTTAACTCCTGAACAAGCTGGACTTTGTATGCAAACATGCAGAATCATCCTCATAGTGGTACGGGAAATGTCCACCAGCATTCCATTTCTGCGCAATTTTTTGATCAAATTTGTAATACTTTGGTTTGACGGTGCCTCATTTCTTCCAAACGCAATTTTTATCGCCGTCTCTGCGATCACAGTCACATTCAAAGTAAGTTTTGAGTATTTCGATCCAAATTTATTCGGTGCATATTTTGTAATCGGAAGGTTAAAACTAAACCACTGTCAGCAATTCATGGCGCTTAAGTTGAAAGCTTTAGTAATAGCACGTAGTTTAAAATTCAACTTATAGATGGCCCTCCCTTTATTACAAAATATTATAAAAAAAGATATAGGTACATACCTTATTTAACCTGTCACATTTTTGTTTGTCCTTTATACTTTATGTTATCACGTTGTAGTTGTAATAATAAAATAAAATTAGTATTTTTATTTTAATGTATAGCAAGCCCGACCTAATCAACTCATAATATAATTAATTAACGGAAAATGTTAATTAACTTTTCTTTAGAAACTTGACGCTGCTCGAGAAAGGAATATCTTTTATGAAAGCTCAGAAAGAAAATAGAAGACATTATCCGAATCTGCGGAAATCTGCTGACCGGATATTTTCCCGCCCGACACGTTCCCGTCGCTGTTTCAACCTTAATTTTTTAAATTCATTTCATCATGACGGAAAATTACTTTTCACATACGTGACCCAGCGTCGAGGTATACAAGACCATTCACTAGACTCGACTCTGTTACTTTTAGCTTGCCTGGAAGTAAATTACACGTCAAACTTTTGTTTTTGTTGGATGATTTAAATTTTTTTTTGGGTCGTTTTTAAAAAACACCCGCCTTCCGCTGTCCGTAAGTTTGAATTCCAATAACTTTGTTAAAAATGATCGGATCTTATTATTGATTTAAAAACCAAGTGAAAGCCTAACAAGCCCTTAGTAAACTCTTTCAAAAAATGTTTGTTTTGTAATTTCAAAATAATTTTTGTTTAATTTTGAAACTTGTGAAACACACATTTTCGCATGTCCCATTAGCGTTTTATAAAACTTACATACATGTTTTTTTTTAAATATCGAATAACCAGAACTTTGTGTTGCTTTATAGCAATCCATAACATCCTTAGTTAATACAGTAAACAATTTATATATAAAATAATTAATTTTAATCTACTTTTTTTAAATTTGACTCATGTCCCAGACATTTTTTCCGTTGCGTTACGTCCGTCGCGTTACCGATAGAATATTTAAAAAACATATATATGGCAACTTTTTTGGTACTCACGTGATCAACAAATTATGTTCAGACGTACACATTACCCAGCTGAATTTATTTATTCAATCAGGAAGAAGATATCGGTTGAAAAAGGTGCGGGTAACGCGAATGTAATAATAGTTTGTCCGCTAAGTTACTCAAAAAAATAATAAATATTGGGTAAGAAAAAATACTTTTTTTATGTTTATGTTTATTTTAGGGCACTAAAGCTCATTGAGAGTAATTAATGACTAAAATGTCTTATTATTATTTTTTAAATATGGTTTTACAAAACTTTGTCCACTGCGTTACCGAGTACACTATGTTACCTTATGGTAACGCAATGGAATTTAGGGTAACGCAATAGAATTTTTCGACAACAAAGTGGATATTTACCGTCGCTTTTATTAAAAGTAGTTTATGATTAACCAATTTAAAATTATTTGTAATTACAACTCATGATATAGATTACATCCAAAGAAAAATTCCACGCAATATAAAAGTACTAAAAGGGACCTTCACCAGCTTATAGTCAAAGAAAAAGGGTGTCTACAACTTAGAAATCTAATTTGTTATTCTGCAAGTGAGCACCACTACAAGGGATTTTGTTTATGCATTACTCTAAAATCGTACCACCCTATATAGTTTCTTTTTTACGTTATCTGATTAAGTCCTTTGTGTACCCCTGTACGTTGTGATACCAATGTCTATTTTATAACTTTTTTTTAGTTTTTGTTAAAAAAAATACTTAAAATGATTTTTATACACTATCACTTGGTAATACGTGTTTATAAATTAGAGTTTAATTCACTACTACAGTGACTAAAAGAAAATATTAATGTTATTGTTTTTTTAACAAAGAATCGGAATGGTTTCTTTTAAAAAGTAACTTAACGAACATACATATTTAAAAAAAAGCATACAATTTTTAATAAAAAATTGGAGTCAAAAGTTTGTGAACTAAGTACATTTTATTTCAAATTATTTTTATAACAATTTTTTTTATTGAATTAAATTTTGGATTTCAAATTGGTAACACAGTGGAGATATATAAAGCTAGCTAAACAAATTTTTCTGAAAAAAACGTAAAAAAAATTAAAAAGTGCACTGCCTGTCTTAAATGTAAGTAAACAAAACTCTAGAATTTTTGCAAAATAGATAAAATAGCATAAAAAACATTTTAATATATTACATTAATTACATAACACCTTGTATAACGAAACGATATAATAGAACGAAACACAAACATAAGTTTTCCATTGAAAAACCTTAAAAACCTTAATGAGTACAGATTATTTTTATCATTATTATAACTCTTGTGAAATAATGATTCCTTCCAGCTCCAGTGTTTTTTCTTTTGAGAGTTGCTTTGAAGTCGAAACATCAAAGTCTTCCTTTTATTCAATAGTTTCTTAACGATTTCGCCATTTGCTTTTAGTTTGCACTCACATTTCCCTTATAAATAATGGTCAAGTTTTCTTTATTTTTTGTTAACGTAATTTTCTTTGGAATCGTATCTTTTAGAACATGTAATTAAGTTATAAGCTTCATTAACAGCTTTGTTAAGTTACACTATTTTTATTTTAGAAAAGTTTAGATAGGAATATTTTTTTTTTGTAAATTAGTAATAAAAAACTTGGGAGTAAAATATTTGAATATTTTTCGTATAAAATGCTAAAAACATCGAGATAGGTATAATAAATCGGCTTGGTTTGATAAAACATCATAAATTTCCATCTTTATACGTAGGTATACATAACATAATAAATATTTAGTACGAGCATGCACATATCAAACCGTATAGATCCCGCCCTTTTTCGCACGCCGTGCTGTAAAAAATAAAAACGCACGCGTTTAGTAACAGACGATTTCGCTCAGCCATCGGAAAATGCACGTCAAAGCCCAAATCAAATATCGTTTGTAAAATTCAAATCAAAGCACTTTGCCGGGATGTCTGGTACTCCTTTCACAAGGAATAATAGAGCACGGCAAAATGTTAACAAACCTCGTTACAGGACTTTTTTTCGAATAGAAAATTGGTCCAAATGAACTCGCATTTTGTTTCACTTTATTTTTAATTCGTGTTTTAACTTCAAAGCAAAGAAGCACCTCAGTTGAAACGTCCTCTGCTCAAAGAGACCTGTGTGAACCTGAAAAAAATACGACACGACTAATTTTTATTTTTTCCCTCCCCACTTAAAATAAAATAAAATATAACAAAAAAGTAGTTTGTATTAATAAAGTAAAGATCCATTAATTGCTTTTGTTAAGGCAAAAATATCATTTTTATAAAAATTATTTATCTACAAACGCTACTTTCAGTAATAACATTTGCATTTTTCTGAGTGTACAATTTCATGTAATTACGTTTTTTATACAGTCGGGTGATTTAATAAAATAACATGTACCTTTATATCAAT